TTGCGCACACTCTTCACTATATCCATGTACACTGCTTTTTTCTCATAAATTAGAAAAATTTCACGAAAATACATGACAATTTTCTGAATCTTTAAACCCGCTAAAAAGAACATATATGAAATTACCTGATCGCGAAAAAGTATATACCCTTTCCAATATGAACATTTCCACATATAAAATAAATAAAATATCCAAAAACTTTTACCTTTAATTATCTATTATAAACGTCACCAACGAATTCATACCGCAAACATTACAAATACTTAGTGTCAAATATTTAAATTATTTCCATGCACATTTACTTCAACTAAAATGTATACCAAATTCCTACAAACATAAAATTCACAAATAACTATCATTTAATTAAAATATCACTAAACCATGTACATGTCGACTTATTTTTACTTAAAAAAACATCGCAGAATTGCACAAAATGGCATTGCGCACACTCTTCACTATATCCATGTACACTGCTTTTTTTCTCATAAATTAGAAAAATTTCAACGAAAATACATGACAATTTTCTGAATCTTTAAACCCGTAAAAAGAACATATATGAATTACCTGATCGCGAAAAGTATATACCCTTTCCAAATATGAACATTTCCATGTATAAAATAAATAAAATATCCAAAAACTTCTACCTATAAATTATCTATTATATTATAAACGTCACCAACGAATTCATACCACAAACATTACAAAAACTTAGTGTCCAAATATTTAAATTATTTCCATGCACGTTTACTTCACTAAAACGTATACCAAATTTCCTACAAACATAAAATTCACAAAATAACTATCATTTAATTAAAATATAATTAAATTCAAAACACTACTTAAAATATAAATAAGCACATACATTAAATTAATAAAATTAGCTTACAATCCTAATTACTTTAAACTAAATCATTGCTAATAACAATTTTCCAATAATACCAAATTACTTTACTTCCACCTTACATTTAGAACAATGCATAAAAATATCATCCTCAAATAATTAAAAATACTAACTTACCTAATCTTCTTCAGAATCTTGCTTACATGGTGGATACACTTTTATTATTGATTTAATAAAATTATTGAATGATTTTTTTCTGCGAATTTTTCCTCCGCACTTCCTCCGCTAAATAAAAAGCAAAATTCTCTCTATCACAATGCCTCGGAATGGCGCTTTTTATAACACTCCACGTGCCCTCTATTGTATTGGTATGTGCACCTGTTTCCGGATCTTTAAAATAATATTTGTGGTTCACAGCAAGATGTTTAAAACCTTCATCTTCCAAACATTCATACGATTTCCAGCAATCTGAAATAATAAAATACCCGGTAGAATATATTCTTTTATAAAACTTAATAAAACAATCTTTACTTCTATCTCGCACAACCTTAAAAAACCACTTATTACTACCCCTTTCAATCCCACCAAACACCCATTTTCCTTCCACTCTCCTACCTCTCTGATACTTCTGCTTCCCAAACTTACTCTCATCAATTTCCACAATAACATTCATACCACCAAGCATACAAATATCATTTTCGCAAAATTCCACGCACACTTCCCTACAAAAAGAATTCCAATCAGCTGCAGTACTACTGCTAATTTCTAAATCCGAAATCCAATAGTCAACTGGCAATCTATTCACCCAATAATAAGAAATCAATAAAATTTCACCCATACTCAAACGACTTTCAGCAAACCACGTACCCTTCCTTACACTCCGTTTCACAAAATGTCCATTTTCACCAGATTTTCTTGCACCGCCATTCAAACTTATCAGTAATATCCTTCCTTTCACACAATCTCATTTCATTCCCACATTTTGGACATTCATACTTATCCGCAATTAATCCTACACTCGTATGCACCATTCAACCAATTCTTTTGAATTATCAGACAAATGCATTAAAAATTTTGAATTCATTTTTAGACAGCACCATACGATCCGAAAAATTATTCAACACTACTTCACACAACACACAATGAAGCTTAATACTGCAAAATATAGTACAGCCACAGATATTTTTCCAAATTCCCCCCCTTTTCCGATTAAAGAACCGTAATTTATTTGTCCATTAATGTCACATGACCATATCCTCATGATCTCTCATTTCCCCTCACACAAAATAATGCGTAATCAGAACTGAGTACTGCTCACATTATTACCAAAGTCCTAGGTAGTAACCTTTATCGCCTCCAAAATGTCGCCAAACTACCAGTTACCACATTCCAAAGATCAGCCAAATAGACATAAAACTTTAATTTTCATGTATTTTATTCATGTATGAGTCTCATGACTAAATATTTTATTTATTAGTTATTATAACTATTATGCTAAGTATTTTATAGGGTTACTATTTGTTCACACTTTCACAACAGTTGATGCAAGAAAGATAGATTATTTTCTTGCACATGAACTAAAAAGGCTATCAAAGAAAAAATTTAAACTTTGAAGACAATCAATGTTTGGAAAATTCCAGAAAATCAATTTATAATAGACAAATATTTATATAGCAGTTTTCAATGTGCAAAAGACACATGTTTCATCTGACAGTCAGTATAATGATTAGGGATTAAAGAATGAAGTGAAAAACAAGATATATATTCTAGGTCCATATACTGGAACCATACATAAACAAATGAACTAAAAGTACAACAGCTTTTGCAGACGCCCAATCTGCTTCATCAGTCAGCTGGAGCTAGGATGGTTGGTTGGTTGACTTTTAATGGAATAAAACCTTGAAGGTTATTATGCTCCAGACGAATGGTGATTAAAGTTCAAAATGCATAAACACACTGTATCAAATGAATTGTTGAAATGAACCTATAATGCTGGAGCTAGAATGGATAGCTTAATTATGTTCGTCATCTTTCATTGATTTCTGTAGACTTGCTGTATTCAGAACTGTGGAATTGTGTGGAGAAAAGCTCTTGTACTCTTATTTCATTTGTTTAAATGCAATTTCAGGATGGAAACTTAACGTTTTTATCTTATTTTTGACTTCATTTTAGCTGAGTGTATTAGTTAATTTTTAAATAGGGATAATTAATTATTAAATATGTTATAAAGGAGATATAGCAAAGAAATTAGCAAACTACTACACTTCACAAAAGTTCTATCGCTGCAATTTGCATATCAAGAGCAAATCAACTACAGAAACAGCTAGCTTTTATGTAAATATAATATAAGAAACTAAGAAGCAATCACTAACCTATGCAAAACATGAAAATTTGATATCTTTATTTCAAAATGTAAATTGAAAATTTGGTGAAACACTGAAATCAGTTAGAATATTATGAATTTGTCCAATACATAATCAATACATACAAAAATTTGCATATGTTTCTGTTCTCTGAGACATACACATTTAAAAAATCTAGTTGGAAAATGAATTCACATTCACAGCTGAACATTTGGTAATGCAATGCTGTTTCAACATTGTTCCAAAATTTCAAAATGCTACATTTTTTTTTTAGTTCACCTATTCCAATCAAAAATTTAACACTCAGTAATTTTTTTAGCTTATTTCTACAGGTATTAACTGTTAATTTTAATTCATATCACTTATTCTGAATGTACAGAATCCATTCTCAGAACAGACACAGATGTCAAAGTTGTCACAGATGTCTACCATTTTGTATATGCACTGATAGAAGCAACCAATAATGTACATAGGTAGTATTACTATGCATTCCACATAGGCTCACATACATCATTTCCTCTGAAACTGAAAAGCTCAAAATATTCCTAAGAATAATTCACTAAGAAATAATATATCAGTTAAGTAATATAACCAGGCCCAGTGGCACAGTGGCCAGCACATCACACAGCAGCACCATAGATCCAGGGTTCAGTCCCCGTGCTGGGCATGGTTGACTCAGCTTTTCATCCCTTGAGTGGGCTGATGAAATAAGTACCAAGTTCGCTTGGGGACTAAACACATGGGGTCCTGTGATAAGCTGACCAGCTATGCTAATATATGCTAATGTACCCTAGGGCCCATGGTCAAGAAAGCAGATACCAGGGCACGGCAACCCATGGCTCACTAAAAGCTGTTGCGTCATTGAGTTTTTAAGTAACAAAACCATGCAGGATATAAACTGCATCTTATAAGTGCTGAAAAATCAAATGTTCTTAAAAAAACATTCCTTGTACATTAAATAGATTTGCACCAAATAAATATATTAAAATTAATTTGTCTTAACTTTACATAACTTTAATGTTACTACTACATATATATATAATATACCAAAAATTATCTGAACCAAATGCTCTTCACAATCCACCCAAATGAGGAGATTAAATATTCTGTTACTTGTGTATGTAACACCATTTTTGTTGTTAATACTTCTTTAAAACAAATTACTTTAAAAAAATTAGCAACTGAATAGATTAAATGGCTAAATTAACTAAAAAAACTTCCTCTTACCACATATTTATAAAAACATGGAGGAAAAAATTAATTCAAACAATGGACTTTAAAAGCATAATGTATAATACTGAAAAGAATAATCCACTAACTTAACAAATTTTACTGTTATTTACTTAGAAAATGTCTTGTGGCAAAGCTATAACAAAAGTTTTAAATCAGGAATAATATTTTCAACAATGAGAAATGAACAAAAAGTTTCACTCAGAAATATAATCAAAAATTCGAGTGGCACATTGGAAAACCATTACACATATATACAAAACACATGGTGAACTGATATAATGCCATATATAAGTTATTAATGCACAGTCAGTAAAATTCAAAAGAACAATAAAACTCTAATTATCCAGATCATTAACATTTTCAAGACAAAAAAATTTAGTGCCAGCCCCTTCATAACTTATTGCAATAAGTTTGCACTTCATAAAATTTTCAAGTATAGAGATATTTAAATCCTTCCTTTTTCTATACACTTCCGTCTAACTTTTCAAGATATTTTTTATTTACTTTTTAGTAGGTTGCATGATATTTAAAATACATAAATTTATTTCGGGTAAAAAACATACCTCAGCCAACTTTAGCTTTCTCTGTGACTGCAACACGAGTGAATCACATAGACCTTGTAATCGACCTGGGACCTTGTAATGGTATGCTATAAAAAATTTTTAAATCAGTTATAAAATTTTAAACACTAACGAAAACGCAAAAGTTTCACTCGAGAACATTAATAAAAAGTTTAACAGTAATACACTGATACTCTAATACAGTGTGATCTAATTTAAGCCACACCATTCCCTTTTGGCACAAAATGCTCCTTTTGGTCTATTTTTCTATGATATTCTCCTCTGTAGTGCCTATTTCATTTCCAGGAGGAATAACAAAGAACTATTATCTGGTTTTAAGATACATTCCCCTACAAATACATTATGTGGGAAGCATGTGGCATATGTTTTCTTTTTGTAAATAAGCTTTCATCAATTTTCACATTTCTGTAACATGCATCAGTTATTTTGTGGGAAGCACACGACATATGTTTTCTTTTTGTAAATAAGCTTTTCATCAATTTTCACATTTCTGTAGAATGCATCAGTTTTAATGTCAGGAAGAGATACTAAGGAATTAAACACTCTCACTTATCTCTCATAAGTAAATATTCCATTCTGTTGCAGGTTTTGTCAATTTAGTTTTATTTATACTATTATTTGCAAGTGAGTAGCAATAATAATATTTCTGACTGAATGGCAACAATGATTAATGTTCCAGCTATTTTTCTGTTATGTAAAAAATATTTCAGCTTTGCAGTGCTATTGTGTAAAATAAAATAAATGAAGTAAAAATATGCTTTTTCATATATACAAAATTCTGAGTATGGTAGCAAAGTACATAATTCAAATGATTTAAATGAAAGTTAATTTATAGTTAAAAAGTGCTTCAGTTTTGCAGTGTTATTGTGTAAAATAAAATACAAAAAGTAAAAATATGATTTTCCATATTTACAAAATTCTCAATATGGTAGCAAAGCACATAATTCAAATGATTTAAATGAAAGTTAATTTACAGTTACTTGTGAAGAACTAATCAAGACAGAATGGTTCTAAAATAAATAAAAGAAGCAAAATGATTGTTAATGAAAATGAAGTTTTATTGAGAAGTTAAAAAATGTTACTCCATTCCAAGTACAGGAATTTCAAAATAATACCAAGTCATTTGATTTATATAATATTGCACCAGGAAATCACATTTCAGTGATATGAAAGATGAACCTATAAAATTTGATTGCATTAAAAAAGACACCAAAGATCTGAAATACATAATCTGCATACTGAAATACATAATACTGTCCAGTGATGCATATATTAAGCAGCAATTATTATTTATATTAAGTCAAAAGGTATGTTTAAGAAAGATGCCAAAGCTTTTTTTTTTCTCTTAAAATTTAAACTATCTCTTAAAATTTATAAATGCAATCCATCAGTTTTTTCTCTTAAAATTTCAGGTACACTGCGGCAAAAAAAAGGGGGGGACAGTTTCTATATCTCTCGTTCTACTAGGCTGATTGATGAAATTCAACTTGCGTTTTTCATGTTTCAAAAGTGCGACCTAGGATATGTATTAGATTTATATATAGCATTGTTCTAATATAGGTATTTTGACATAAAATCAGACTTTTTCTGAAATAACATACCAATTATTTCCATATTACGATTCTACGACTCAAATTATGCCAAACTACCAAGTTTTGTAAAAATCACAAGAGCAGTTTTTTAAAATCATAGCTTTCAAAGTTTTAGCTTCTCAATGTTAACCGAGTTTGGTATATATGTTTTAATCTCTCTCTCTTTTTATTTAACTTATTTGATTCTTCTTTTCATATTTTGAATTTCAGGTTCATTCCAAATAAAATTCACCCATTTTAATGATTTATTTTAAAATTTGTATTTTTAAATAATTTTTATAAATTTTTCAAAAAAATTTTGAATTATAATCTAGAAAATTTGTATCATCATCTTAAAGACGACGCATTTTTAAGCACACCTGCAAAAAATTACAGTTTTTTATTCAAAATTTCTGAAGATATGCGTGAATTTTTATATTGGCAAGTTTTGAAATTTGGCATATTTGTTGAAAGCGATAAAACATCAAATGTGGTTTAGACACTATGCTAAAATTATTTGAAAGTAGGAACGATGTGACTTTTCTCCTCGCTCCAGCATAATAGAAGTGAAACGAAAATTGGTTGCCATATATTAAGAAGTTCGCCAAGTGAATTATTCTTGGCGCAAACTGAAAAAATTGTGCAAAAATAAATTTTTATTTTTTCATAAATTTCGCATGAAATTATACAAAATTTAATATCTAGGCATAATTTGAGTCGTAGAATCGAAATATGGAAAGAAATTGGTATGTTATTTCAGAAAAGTCCAATTTTGTATCAAAATATCTATCTTAGAGCAATGCTATATATTAATCTAATATATATCTCAAGTCGCGCTTTTGAGACATGAAAAAATGCAATTTGAATTTTATCAATTGACCCAGTAGAACATTAGATATAAAATTGTCTCTCTCTCTCTCTCTTTTTTTTTTTTTTTTTTTTTTTTTTTTTGTGTTGTGTGTGTGTGTGTGTGGTGTGTGTAGTGTACATAATTCAGGAAGACTGCTTCTCATTTTCTAGACACATTTTAGTTGGAAATTAAGTTTAAAGTAAAGCCCAGGAGACAAATAGTTGACATGTTTGTTTACCAAATGACTAAATAAAGAATCTTCCAAACTTTTCTAGACAGCAGAATTTTAATTTTATTCTATCCTGCTGAGTGACCCAATCTTTATATTGGATGTAAATAATTTAAATCAGATAATTTTCAGAGCAATAATTACTATATTAAAGAAAATTTTAATAAACTGTACTATGTGGAAAAACTAGCTGTGTGAAACAATAGTTGTAAAACTGTTAATGCAAAACTTTGCATTTCATATATTTTTACTAGAAGACGGGATATTACAAAATTGTCAAACTCTTAAAGCTTCTTCTAAACCAGGAGGACTACGATAGTTTCTTAAAATTCTTAATTTGAAACTATGTGCTATGAAGCAGGCACAGAATTTCCGCTTTTAAGGAAAAAAGCAAAGAATCAGTTTAAATACAGTCAAGTTTCCATAAGCCAAAACTGAAAGGACTGCCTCATCCCTGACCCAATGAAAAAATATTGACAATTCAACTCATTGAAAATTCGATTAAATGAATCAGTATTAATTCTGAGCATAATGTTTTGATATTGACTTTGGATTCCTAGTTCTGACAACTATTTCATGAAAATTTCAACTTATCCAAGTTCAAGTAATCAAAGTTTTAGTACATATTCATCCATATGGCAGTTAAACTAATCACAGAATATTAAAAAGAGTAGAACTGCATCAGCGTAGAGCTTACACTGATGCAGCTTCCTATATTAAAGCTAGTACAATATGTAATAAAATAGAGGCTTTTGTTTATCTGTGAGATGATTGAGCATACATATTAATTTTTGGTACAGAAATGGCTCTACAAAGTACCAACTAGTGAGAAGATGATTATATTCAGAATAATGAATTTATGCTGAATAACATAAAATTAAAAATCATCTACTTAACTATCAGCTACTTAAAAGTCAACTACGCAAAGAAACATTAAGAAATGCAAAATTGTTTCGACATCACAACTTGTGATATAAACCTAATGTCGCTTAACTTAAACTTCTGTTTAATCTTCCCAGAACATAGGGAAATTATCATTCCAACTTTAGCTCAGATTCCAAGAATACTAAGTGAATGCAATAATAGCAAATATAACTGAACCCACATTTGCCTTACAGCTTGATATGTACAAACTAACACATTAACACACAACTTAAACTGTTTCGCTGCCTGATAATATAATGATAACTTGGCTCCTAATTTAAGTAGCTGCACCAGTGGCTGAGCAATTAGACTACTAGTAGTCTATCCTGGAGTTACAACCAGATGAAAAGACTGGCTGCATGGCTGGTTTTTCCAGTTCGCCTCATGTGCAGCATGAATATGAACCAGTTTCTCTTATAAAGATCCTTCATAAAGGCATCCTTTTCCTTAGGCAGTAGACTTCATAAAGGCATTCTTTTCCTTAGGCAGTAGACCTCATGTGCTTTGTCATATTCAGATAACCAATCTAACTTAAGCACATATGCAAATGCAACAACTGGCAAAAGCCATAAACTCATTAAAAAACAGTGTAGTTATGCAATCAGGAGGAATAGGACAGTTACAGCATCAATAGTTGAATTGCTTATACTTTCTTTTTTAACTTAGATTGTCTTTTGTAATTAAACTTACTCAATTTGTTCTTCTGGTAGAAATGACAAAAAGAGTAAAAGCACAGGTGTTAAACTTTGATATAAAATTAGCAATATATTCACAGAAACATATTTAAATTTATTTTTTTAAATTGAATTTTATTTAAAAGTTGAATTTTATTAAAAAAATCTTCTTAGGCTTATTTAAAAAAAGATTGTGCCCTTGTTGGCAATCTAAGCCAAAAATCTGAACCTGTGGATAAATGCTCTACCTATCAAAGGTACCTGCTGAGCAATCCTATTAACAACTAAACCACCTAGAGCTTTGAGCAGCTGCAGATATTTTCTACATAACCACTAAATTTCTGCAATTTGACTTATTAATTTGATCTCCATAGGATTGAATGTTTGTATCACAATTTGACTTTGTAAAAAATGATTATTCTAAATCTTATTTTTACATAAAAGTATACTATGCTTTAGAAAAAGGTCTTTCATGCTAATATTAATAATTCTTTCAAATATAAACAAGAGCTTGTTTAAAAACATGTTTTCCAGTTAATGCTACAAAATATGTTTGAATGTAAAATGTCTTCAGAATCACTTGTTATTTATTCCATTTTCTACACATAAAAAAGAAACAAAAAACTTAATATTCTAATAAATTTTACTATTGATAAACATTTCTGTATCAGAAGAAAACATGTTTAATTTACAAAATTTTGGTACACTGCTTAAAGTATTCAGAAATAATAAATAATATATGTAATACAACATTTTCAAATCCGCAAATAAATCTTGTTGCATATATATCAAACTAAAAGGACATTATGTCGTAAAAAAATACTGTGAACTGAATGGAATTTTTAGTGAATTACATTTGACCTATAAGTGATGACTTGTATTTTATGTCAATACGTACTTTCAACATAAAATTTGCAGCATCCCCTTTCCAAAACAAAATGAAGCATAAACGTTACATAAATGTTAATTACTAATTTGTAAGCTTGTCTCACTTTTGGGGATATTTGTTCGTAACTCTTTGAAGTAGATTGCTATTAAATCAAACGTAAAACAAATAAAATATTCTGAAATATTTGAATCATGTAAAGGGATTTTTTACAAAATCAATAGCACAACATTAAAAACTGAAAATGAAGGGACCATAAAAAAAATCTGTCAGTTGGAAATTTGGCATTAATTCTGAATTCTACATTTTGGCATTCTGTTTGACTTACCAAAAATTTGAGATTTCAAAATCTAACGTATATCATTAAATGAATCTACTGATTCAGATGAGCTACTAAGGGCATTTCTCTTTCATTCAACTTATGGAAAAACATACTAGTTACAAGGATATATGAGGTTGTTGGTTTTAAGTATAAAAGTTAGTTCATTTTATTCATCAATCTTCTCAGAAAATGAATAGGCTAATCTAATATTGCTAACCATAAAAAAAAAAAAAAAAAAATCTGTCAATTGGAAATTTGGCATTAATTCTGAATTCTACATTTTGACATTCTGTTCAACTTACAAAAAAGGTAATTCCATCTCCTCTAAGAAAAGGGTTTTATTTTTCACTAGTAATTCTAGAATGAATTCTTGTATGAATTAATGTTTCATGATAATGCGTAACATTCAACATAATAACAATATTGGAATTCTCTGTCATGGACTCTGATGAGCTGAAATTATTACTCAGAGCTGGAAAATTTCAAGAATTTCTACACACATAGAAAATAAAAGACACACAAATAATAAAAAATTATGGCTCTACTCTTATATGTGCCCCAAGGTCACCAAATGTGGCAATATGTGTTCTGTCCTGGTTTTTGGTGCCACTGCATGTTGTATGGCAACTCTTTTGACCTTGAATACTCTTTTGCTGGAGTGTTTTAATAGCTCGTTAGTTCGTGTTGTGTATGTTTTGAAATGGCCTATGTTGCAATGAGAGACATGGTTGCAAGAGGGTCTGGGAGATTATTTTTAGTGGCTGTGCATGAGAGAAGTAAGGAAATGCTGATGCTGTGTATTAAAGAGTGGATTGAGCCTTGTACAACTATTTTTTCGGATGGCTGGAAATCTTACAAGGATTTAGGAAAAGAAGGTTTTGAACATTTATTTGTGAACCATAGTATGAATTTTCTGCACAGTGTGTCTGGCTGTCATATAAATACAATAGTGATTACATGGCAACATAAAATTGAAATTTCTGCTATTCGAAAAAGCATTCATTTATGGTGGTAAGTGCATTTTATCTTATTCTTGTTCTTATTTTGTAGAATGTTATGCTCATTGTTTTTTAGTATGAATTTCTGTCATTATTGTTGCTTTTTTAATTGTTTGAAATTTATTTTAGTTATTTTAGTTTATTTTGTTGATTAGAGCATAGTGCATAGACTGTGCAATCCGTAGATGTTTTTTAAAGTTGAAACAGAATGCTGCGTATATGGTATTCTTTGAAATTTATTGTTTTACGTTAATTTATAAAAGTGAGGTGTGCTTAGTTCATAGATTCTTTCGCTGCCTAGATTGTGCAGTTCGTAGATGTTTTTTTAAGTTGAAACAGAATACTGTGTACATGGTATTCTTTGAAATTTATTGTTGTTATGTTAAAGCAAGGTGCGCATAGTTCGTAGATTCTTTTGCTGCCTAGATTGTGCAATTCATAGCTTTTTTTTTAGCTAAAACATATCACTGTGAACATGGTCTTGTCAAATATTTTTGGCTAGAAACGTTTTTTTGCTATCTAAATTTCTTGTTTCGGATTTTTAGCTTAAATTGTGTGTTTAAAATGTGGTTTTTGCATAGGTTTTTTGAGACATTTTAGGCTTAAAGTTCAAAATGTAGACAAAAAATTTAGATAGAAATATGGCACCGTGAAGTTTCTCACCAAATATGTTTGGCGAGAAATTTGGCGACTTGAGGGTGCATATAAGAGTAGTTCCAAAATTATTATATTTAAATTATTTTGCATTATCAACAGTAATATTTACAAAAAATTAGATTAATTTGCAGGCATTTATTACAATGCAATAAAATCTAGAATGGAAATGAAAAATAATCCAATAAATTAAATTTTCTATAGGAAATGCAGTATACTGTCATTCTTTTTCTTTGTTGCATTACATTGTTGAAGCATTGAAGAAATCAGCAACTGAACTATACCTGAGTTAGACTACATGCATGCAGTCTAGCTTAGGATGCATTTACCTGTCTCAGTCTAACTCAGGTTTAAAATGAATTTACCTATGCAGCATATTTTCATTATGTGCATAAAGATGTTATAGTAGCATCCAATAGCACATCTGCATTTTGTATGTCACCACAGCTGATAATTTAGCAGAGACTGATGCCTAGGAAAACGAGATCAGTAATACATTAACAAAATAATGAGTAGTATATCAATTATCTTAAGCTCAGAATAAACGATTTAAAAATTTAACTTGTACACAAAATTCTAGATAAAACAATGGTCATGTATTACTTTAAATTAATCCAAAGTTACCTACAACATAGTTAATTTAATTTAAATCAAAGGTATAGTTGTGGCACTTACTGGTAATCTCATATGTGCAACTACTTTCTTTACAGTTACAGTTGAATAATTCTTTCTGCACTGTTGCCAGAACACTTACATCTTTAAAATATATCTACTTTTCGGGAGCTGTCATTCCCTTCTCTTCTATCTGTGCAGTTATATCTCTCATATCTAAATTCAAATATCGACATGAGTTTTTTTAAAAATTTTTAAACAATCTAACAATTGTAAATAAAGAATATTCTAAATATTCCAAGGGTTTAGTGCTATTTAGTGATAAAATAGTGATATTGATTACTCACATTTAGTTTAAATGCTATTTAGCGATATCACTCAAGTCCAGAAGAAAACTTGTAAAAACATCTTTTGGAAGACAGTAAGTTATAATACACGATGTTATAAAGCTTCAATGTATACAGAGTGAATTTTTAAAACTATACCAATCTTACAAACAAGTATTCAAAATTATAGGCATCACACTAAGAAATTCATAATTTTCATGTGATAATAAATATTGCAATTATAAAATGTTGTTCAATTTTGTTTTTCTGAAACATCAAATTATGTTATATATTTTTATTTTAAATAATTTGAAAGATTTATTTTGGTTGATAGATAAAACACTAACAGAAGATACTGTGTGCTGCTACGTCTACAGATAATATCATAAAACATGATTAAGTAAATTCTAGAAATATATAGTTAATTATCCAGAAAAACCTTTCAGCCTGAATTGACACAGTCCTGTTGTTGCCAGTTAAAAGGAATTCTGTATAATTAATTCCAAGTATGCTACCCTGGTTTATACAGCAATAGGAGAGACTGATTACAAACCTGAAGCCAAGGATGTGAGTCAAATTACTGTGTCAAGTTGGTTACACTGTAGAGACATTAGGTTATTTGGAAGCAGGCAAGATGAAAAATATGCGATGTCTTCGCCAGGAACAGAACGGCGGACCTCTGGAATACGCGCCTAGCGTTCAGACCACCACACCATAAAGGCATGCCAAGAAGGTGGGAGAAACACTTTACATACTCCCCCTTTTAAAGGGCAACTGGGTTTTTAGAAGACCCAATCGTCAAATCCTGGGTGAGGAGAATTATTATCCAACACCCTTTTAGTTCGGAAGTCACAGTAGAGACATTGGGTATTTTGGGAAGCACGCAAGATGAAAAATTAGCAACGCCTTTGCCGGGAATCAAACCCCGGACCTCAGGAATACGTGCCCAGCGTGCAGACCACCATACCACAAAGGCATGCCAAGAAGGCGGGAGAAATAGTTTATAACATATATGCAGTCTTCCCCTTCATGGATGTAATATTAATATCAGTCACTTTCCCTACTATGCTCTTAAGAAATGTTCTCAGTAATGAATTCAGCCATTTCTGAAAGACACTTGAGAAATTAAGGGGGGCAGAAGTGTTCAAATTGTGATTTTAAAAATAAAAAATATATATATATTTAAAAGGAAAAGCATACCAGTCACAACAATACCATGAACATATAAAGCAACAATATTTTTGTTATGACTATCAGCAGTTAAGATTTTTAAATCTCATAAATAAAATAATTGTGAATTAAATTTTAGTGTGCTAATTATCTATTGAAAAAAAAAATGTAGTCAGTACAGCACACAGATAACTAGTGAACGATAGATAAATCATCTTCCGTGAAAGTATATAACTACAAAAAATATACTGAAATATAGCTTACTGCATTAAAAATAGTAAGACAGACAGGGAAAGTTAAAATATTTTTAATTATAATTTTAAAAATAATACCTTTATTCTTTTCCTTATAAAATTATGTAATATTTTTTTCCAAATAATTTAACACTTCAAAATAATAAAAATTGATCAGTAAAGCAAGCAAGATAGAAAAGTAATCAAAAAGGTTTAATTTCTAAAATCTGCCACATTTGACAGAATATATCTTTGCTTTTATTACATACTACAAATATCTTAGGACTGAATAAAATTTCTGATAACTTTTGAACTAATATCATACAATTCTTATAAAATATTTTCTAATTCATATCTCCAATTCATTCCAAATACGTTCAAACTGATTTAAATTGGGAAATTATGAAAGTGTTCTGATTACGTCTGGGAAATACTGCAACCACCACAAATGAATATTTAAAGCTGTATGCTCAGAATTGTTAGCTTAATACAATGCAAATTCGGACATACACCTTTTGCACTGAGGTTTTTCAAGATCTTTTAAAATGTTCAAATATTTTGTACAATAAATTACAGTAGCAATAAAAATAAAATTACTTAACTGTACTGCAGAAATACACTGCACTATACTAGGACATCCCCACCATATCTTTCCTTTATATGCCATCAGATTTTCTCTGTGTCAATGATACTACCATCTGAAAAAAAAAAAAAAAAATTCAAATTTATTGTTATCCATAAGATAACCTGATCCAGTATAACAGTAGTTTTATTTTCCCCTGATTTTTGTAAATGTGTTATTTTTTTTAACGAGTCTTTTATTTAAACAGCACATCATGGTGTTACAAAATTTATTAAATTGGAATTAATAATAATTTTCAAGCATAAAACTATATACAAACCAAACTATTCAACAAGCAAGTTCTGTAAATCAACTTCACTGGGAAAATGTAGTGTTGCCAAGAACAATGTTTCCCACAAACTGTTAAATCAGTTTTAGTTTTAAAATTGGATAAATTTTATACATAATAATTTTTTAAAGATACAGATTTATTTAAAAATTCATTTTAAAAAAGCTAATTTAATCTGTGTATTTTTTCATTTTAACAGCTGGGTAGAACAAGTTCCAACACATTTTGAGCTACAGTAGTAACATTACAGGTTACTGTACAGGTTATGATTGTTCTAAATTACAAGGCATAACCTTAAAAATAACAATGAAGCATAACTGCAACATGATATGGTAATAATAACTGAATAATTATTCAGCACTACTTTAATGTTAGACGTTTAAAAACAAGACTTACAATGGCAAAAAAAAAAAGTAAAGGAATGTGTTAGGTATCAACTCACTTCAGATTTGGTACTTCAGGTACAGAGAGAGGATATGGTTCGAAAACTTTTCAGAAGCAGATCTAATACATGAACAATATCAGAATTTATGGGTTTTCTTCTGCAACGCACCCGTTGGCGCTTCGGGAAAGAACCTCTCGCATTTTTACTCGTCAACGGCTAATCGACGATGAGCCATAAATTACTCTTTCCACGTTGTAGTTCCTCCTGCCGACTTTTGTTTTGTCAATTTCCACAGTGCAGTGAATTCTACGCAGCATTCTGTCCGTGAATTGCTCGCCACAGTATGAGTACCAGTCGTCGACTGTTTTGGACTTATGCTATCAACCCACAACTGATCTAACTGCCATCTTTACTCGAACTTAGGACTCACTCATGCTCAGTCATTCCAGATAGAAAATCGCACAAGCGTCTAGCCCCTCAGATGCTAGTTTCCTCCTGATTCCTCCCTGATCGTTTGCGCAGATTCACGCGCAGCGTGTTTACTCCAAGGAGCTGGGCGTGGTCAAAGCCGATTTTTTTAAAACGCCTCGCGTTTAAAACGATACGAACTTGGTGCGCATTACTGAATGTAAATTAATTAATTTTTTTAGTTTTTCTGAAATAGTTTTCTTTTTAATTGGTGTATATATTTATTTGTTCAGATGTTTTATTATAAATCTATACATAAAGGAAGAATTCCTGATTTATTCACCTACACATCATCGCCCGAAGCTATTAGAGACACAGATATCAAATCTTAAGAGCTTATTACTTTTGTATCGAAGATGTCATTTAAGAAGCAATTTTTTAAGATTCGGCGTGCAAAACATGTTTTTATGTTTTTTCATATAAGGAAGAAACAGATGTACATAAGATTTTTTAAAATGTATGGAATATGAAAAGCCAATTTCAAACGTTTTAAAAATTCGGCCCCGAAGGGGGGAAACGTGTTCTTCACATATTCCTTCATACCTCAGATATCCATAAGACAGACTTATGGATTATTGCTGTAAAATGTAAGGAATACAAATAAATGCTGACATCAACATGTGTGGGGAGGGGGACTGATTGGCATAAAATACAAGTTTACATAATGTACAAGTAAGCCTTATTAAAGGTGCACACCAGATATGTAAAGCTAGTTAGTATTAAAAAAAACTTAAGGTTTCTATTATTTAATGTTATTAATAATTAAAACCCCAAAATAAAAATGTAGCAGCATGTTGCAATTCACAAAACTGTGATTACCATGTTCAGTTACTTTTAAACAATTCTACACATAATAAAATGGCCAGTGCACAGCATGTGAATGTACATAGGGTTGAATAATTAGAAAATAAAAAACTTGACAAATATTAAATAGCAAGTATTGAATAGTAGAAAATATTGCTTACTGTTCAAATTTGGGATTGACTCAGTTTCACCAAAATGTATTTATCTACATTAAAATGTTTGGTAATAATCTATTGACTGCACAGTATAAAAGTCAATGAATGATTGATTGTATGGATAATATTTGGTATTGTTGGACTTGGAGGGGGGAAGGAAGACAGTAATGCAAGGAGGATGAACAAAAATAGACTTGCTCATTAATCACAGAATATATCAGCCTATCACGAGGCCCTGAGATAAAGGTTCAAAACCCTGTTCTGACCTTCTACATCTGTTCCTGATCATTTTAAGGATTAGAGTTGGAATTATCTTATTATTAAAGAGAAGTTCTGAAGAATGAGAGAGAGATAGTATTATATAAATAAGAAAAAAATATCATCTGACACATATAAAACACTTACAGGTAGTTGAAAGAAGATGTTTTAGATGATAAAAATGAACAAAAGGAATTGTGAATAGGTACTAAAGACTATTGTTAATTCAGTGGATATTATGTGTCACTAGAATGTGTTAAGTTTCTTCAGAGGAATTATGTGTAAAATTTTTGTGATGCAAAATAATTTTTAGAATTGTATTATTGTCTTCATTCTGTGAAGTTATTGTAGAAGTTTTTGTCAGTTTCCTTTTCGTTTTGTATTTGAGAATCTTTTGAGTATTATATTTTTATTAGGTGGAATATCTTTATTAGCAGTTGGGAAATGTATTTCGGAGTAGTCTTTAAGGTACCCCTTGTATTATGGTGAAGTTATTGCTTGATTTATCGCCAAGTTGTTGTTTCATTTATGGTAGCCTGAATAGTTGAATGTTATGGAAATCCTATTGTGATGTAATCGGGTGCATGCATGATTCTGGGAAATTTTTAATCATAGGATGTTTTGTAAGCGTTTTTGTGGTGTGTGTTGGTTTGATTCTTTAGACGGTAGAATGGCCAAATATAGTAAGATTAATTTGAAGTTTCTGTTCGATTTGGAGTGAAAGGGGAAAAGAGCTTTAATTGACTGGTGTGTAAATGAAGGTTTACTTAGTAGCCATTATAAGTGTCCTGTATGTACAGGGTGATAGCGAATAAGCCCTGATTTCAAAATTAAATATCTCTACAACAAAAATCGATAGAATTATGCGATAAACTGTACATTTATTAGCAAAACTGTAAAAATGGTGTACGTTTGTAAAAATGGTGTAATAAGTTTAGAAAATTTAGTTACGAAAATCGTTAACAGATGGCGCTCTGCACTGAAAATTCTTTCTGAAAGGAGTCAAAAAAATAATTAAAAAAATAAAGCAGCCCTTGCAATCAAAATACAATTTTTTCAAAATGTTCACCATTCGAAACAATGAGGTGGCGTAAATGAACAATAAAATTTGACATCACGTCTTGCAATGTCTCGACGGAAATGGAATAACATGCAACACCAATGAACGATTCAAGCTCATCTAGAGTAGCAGGATTGTTTCAATAGACAGCGTCTTTCAATGCGCCCCACAGAAAGAAGTCATGTGGACTCAGATCGGGAGAATGTGGAGGTCACACTATTCCTGTGTCAGTAAATTGAGGATAATCTAATGCAATTACTCTATTCTCAAAGTATTCATGAAGAAAGTGAAAAACTTTATTTGTTCGATTTGGTCGAGCCCCATCTTGCAGGAACCAGTCGATATCTGGTCGACCTCCAACACTAGTTGAGTGCTGACAAATTGTTCTAAAATTGTAACGTAACATTCAGTAGTTATCATTTCTCATACGAAAAAGGGTCCGATAATGCCTCTGGCGCATACCGCAGCCCATGTTATAACTTTAGGCGAATGCAGTGCTTTTCTTCACACAAATGAGGATTTTCAGTATCCCAAAAGCTCCAGTTTTGTTTATTAACAATTCCATTCAAATGAAAATGTGCTTCATCTGTGAACCAGATGTAGCTCCCATCAAATCTGTCGTTGTCGATCATTGTTAGAATCTGATTCGCAAAGTCAACACTTTGTTGCACAGCTTTCATGGGTATGGCCTGATGACTTTGGATTTTGTATGGAATCAGCCGTAGGCTATTTTTAAATATTTTTTTGTGTGCCCGTTTAAACCTGTCTCTGATGCTTTTCCTAGGATTTTGCTGAACAAATCCAGAAGCTTTGGTTGCATTTTCAGGAGTGACTATAGTTTGCTTAGGCCCAACATTTCCCTTTCGATCATCAGCCATGCTGCCAGTCCATTCGAATTTCGTGAAGAGCATGAGAATGGTTTTCGCATCGGGTCCAACTGGAACATTGAATCGGTTTTGAAATCTGTGACGTGTTGGCATAGGACTGTGTTCTAATCGGCGAAATTCCAGAACCAAAATACACGTTGTTCAATGGAATACATTATTTCAACTTTCTACGCTAGCCTCTTTTTCACTAGCCAACAGTTGTACTGATCACTTTTCGACTTCGAAGCACATTTTAAAGGCTATTGTTAGGTCATTGCGATTACAGCGCCATCTGTTAGTGATTTTCATAACTAAATTTTATAAACTTTTGTACACCATTTTTACAGTTTTTCTAATAAACGTACAGTTTACCGTATAATTCTATCGATCTTTGTTGTAGAGATATTTAATTTTGAAATCAGGGCTTATTCGCTGATCACCCTGTGTAGGAAGGATATGCGTCTAGTCGAACGTAAACACCGCTTAGATGGATGTGAATGGGTTTGTAGGAAGAAAGGTTCAGATGGTCACTATGTGAAGCATTTGATCAGAAAGAGAACTTGGTTTGAAAAAAGTCATTTGAGTATGATTGATATTTTGATTTTTACGTGGCTCTGGGTGTACGAAGCAAATTCGAAAATCATGGTAAGTGAATGCAGTCAAAAGTCGTTAATTCGGACCTCAAAGCCATAATCCAGACCTCAAAGCTAAAAACTTTCTGCGCATGCGCCGCGTTTATGCGTGCGCGTAAGACCTTTTACCACTGCGCATATGCGTTTGTGCAAGCGCAGAATACGTTTTCGCGTGCGCGTTTTATGTATAACGAACAGTATAATCTAAAATTATCTATTTCAGTTAATGATATGATTGCGTTGTTCCTTAATCTTCAAATTGGATCCGGTTTATTATTTTTTGCAGACTATAAGAGCAATTTTATAAAAGTAAACTTGAACTTTCGATTATGTCAAATAGAATTTCTGATTCTGGGGCTCCCAAAGGATCATACCAAACGAAAGTATGTTTCGATGTCCATCAAACAAAATGTGGAATTGCTGCAAAAAATGGATAAAGACATGAAGAATGTGACAGAGAGGTTAATGAAAACGAAAAAATTTCGATTGACAAGTTAGTCGGTATTCTCAGCACAACAATTAACGGGACTTGAACAGTGGAACTTTGTAACTGAACAAGAAATTGTGTCTGTTTATAGAATTAAAATGAAAGTATTATCACAAAAAATGAAGCAACTTAAAAAAAACTTACATTGAAAGAAATGTTTAATAAAGTAAACAAATAAATATTAAGCTTTTTTTTGTAAATTTTGATACCCTTTAGATTATAATTGTTCTTTATTTCATAAATTAAGGTTTCATATTTTTAATTTTAGAATTTCTGCATGCCATCATACGAGATTTAAACTGATGATCTATAATCCGGAATCGCCGAACTCCCGACGAGTCCGGATTAATGACTTTTGACTGTATTTGCTTTTGGTGGTGCTTAAATGTATAACATGTTTTTCCTTTTTTATGTTATTTTATTGTTTGGTTTAAAATGTATTTTATTAAGATTATGTCTTTTTTGTTTGCCTATATTGTAGAATTTGGTACTCCTTTGACTTTTTAAGTGAAAATATATCGATGTGTGCATGGACAAAGTGAAGGGAGAGCGCAATGCAAGTTTGTGCAATTCTGGGATTTTTTATTAAGTGAAAATAGGTCGATGTGTACATGAATAAAGGTAAAAGAGTGCGCAATGCCATTTTTGTGCAATTCGGGAAATTTTTTTTTTAAGTGAAAATAGGTCGACGTGTATATGGATAAAGTCAAAGGAGTGGAGTGCGAAATGCCATTTTTATGCAATTCAGGGTTTTTTTTTAAGTGAAAATAATCGATGTGTACATGGATACCGAGTTTGTGCAATTGTTTGTCTTGTTATTTTTGGCAAAAATTGCCGCTTCGCAAGCCAAAATTAACAAGTCAAAGCATTGCACAAAATCGGTATCCATGTACCAGCAAAAATCGCCGAGGGGCACCATAAAATATACTTTTACCTGTATTTCTTGTGAATTTAACATATCATATATTATCTAGTTGTAGTGGTGCTGATTTTAGAATTCTATCTAACACATCACATTGTTTGTCAGATTTTAATGAATCTACTAATTCTAAACATGTTTCATTTAGTTCATTCTTTGTGTTCCAGTGAGAGGGTCTGTGATTTTTTTTTTTTTTTTTTTTTTTTTTTTTTTTTGGCTACTTAATTCAAAATTCATTTTCATCATCTATAATAAGTGGATAATTCATTATGTATTGTAGTTGTAGTATAAGTAGCAGTATTTCTAGTGTGTTTGCACATACTCCACCTAACTTATAAGGTATTTCTCCCGCCTCCTTCGTGGGGTGGTGTTGCACACTGGGCGGGTGCATATTCCAGTGATCCGCAGGTTCGATTCCTGTCGGCGAAGGCATTGCTAATTTTTCAATTCGCTCTTGCTTCCAATGTAAAATTCTAATGTCTGTACAGTGGCGCTCCGAACTGAAAAGGGTGTTAGATGATTGTTCTCCACACCCAGGATTTGGCGATTAGGTCCCCTAAAAACCTCAGTCGCCCTTTTAAAAGGAGGAGTATATAAAGTATTTCTCCCACCTTCTCGGCATGGCTTCATGGTGTGATGTGTATCCAGAGGTCCGTGGTTTGATTCCCGTCAAAGGCATCGCATATTTTTCATCTTGCCTGCTTCCAAAAAAGTACCTAATGTCTCTACAAACT